AAGTACTCTTTCTACTATACCCTTACTTCTAAAGCTTAAAATGTGAATTTTTAAGGATTTCATTCGGTTATTGCACTTGTAAATAAAGGAATGACTTTGATATCAATTGAATGTTTAGACAACCAAGAGAGGGCTGAATTGAGTATTTCATAGAATGCTTTTATTATTAATTTGTTTTATATAATAGGAAAAGTTTAAGATCAATAATATTGTATGATATAAAGAGTTTTTTAATAATTTCGACACTACTGATTTATTTGTGCGGTTTTTTTCAAGAAATAATCTCCGGGTTGATGATTTTGATTCATGTGATGTATCTTGAATCTGATTTGTGCAACACCGACGCCATGGTTTGTTTGTTTATTTATTTATTTTTTGTTCATTGCATTTGAATAAATTATTTGCGAGGTTGATATCAAGATCAACATGTATGGTTCTTTTATGCTTTTCTAAGTTGACATGGTTCTTTTTGAGGCAAACATATTTTTACTTAAATTTTATAAAGCTTTAATTCACCGCTTCTTCCTTATTTCGTAAATCTTTGCAAAATTAAGTCCCTGATCATCATTAAATCCTCTTGATTGTAATGACCAATTAAGCAAATATTGCTTGTTTTTTCCGTAATTTTTTGTTCACTCCCTGAGAATTCAAAATAAGGATTTATTTAGAAGTTTTTAAAATTTCCTAATTTTTTCTTTTAGTATCATATCTGTCTCTTGTTTTCTATTTTTATGGATAGTTTTATTATTGAGGCAATTTGATTTTATGTGCTTGATTTTTTAAAATCAAAACATTCCATATGATGTATCTTGATTCTTATTTGTGCAACACCGACGCCATGGTTTGTTTGTTTATTTATTTATTTTTTTGTTTATTGCATTTGAATAAATTATTTACGAGGTTGATATCAAGATCAACATGTATGGTTCTTTTATGCTTTTCTAAGTTGACATGGCTCTTTTTGAGGCAAACATATTTTTACTTAAATTTTATAAAGCTTTCATTCATCGCTTCTTCCTTATTTCGTAAATCTTTGCAAAATTAAGTCCCTGATCATCATTTAATCCTCTTGATTGTAATGACCAATTAAGCAAATATTGCTTGTATTTTCCTTAATTTTTTGTTCACTCGCCGAGGATTCAAAATAAGGATTCATTTAGAAGTTTTTAAAATTTACTAATTTTTTCTTTTAGTATCACATCTGTCTCTTGTTTTCTATTTTTTATGGATAGTTTTATTATTGAGGCAATTTGATGTTTTGTGATTGATTTTTTAAAATCAAAACATTTCATATTATTAACCTTGTTGGAAATTTTATCTTTATATCTTTCTTCTTGTTTGAAAAACTTCTCTCTTTTGCTTTTGAAGGAATTGAATTTTCTTTTAACCAATGCTGCACTTTTACTTCTAGGAATTCGCTCGTGGTTACCATATTCTTATATTTTTCAGTGTCATTTGTTTTTCCATTTTTTTATTATTCTTAACGCTTTGACTTATCTCTTGCTTTTGAGCAATTAGTGAACAAACAAATTAATGGAATAGTTACATAAATTTTTGGATTCGGTAATGGCGGCACTAATTTTGGCATCTCAAAATAATGAAGGTAAAACACTGACAATTTTATTTAATTTATTATACATTATTAGTAATTGTCTTGCTCAGGTTTCATGCAAATTTGTTCACAATCATGTACTAATAATTTTATGTGAAATTATTTTACTTCTTTTGTACCTTCATATGTGCTAATTTGTTTCATACTTCATTTGTACCTTATAGGTTTTCGAAGATGTTGCATGTATATAATATCAAATTTAAGTGTACTAAAAGAAAGAAAACTTAAAAATTTACAAATTATGTTATGTAAACCACGTTACTTTTGTGTCAACCATTGTAAGGAATATCTATAATAGAATGATTAAACAGAGATTCTTATTTTAAAAAATTAAATGGTATTTTTTTAAGTAATGTGGGTCGAGTAGTGAAATAATCTGCTGCAGTCTTACTATTACAGCATACAATATGGACTTTCAAGGATTTTCATTGGGAAAATAAACTTTTAAACAAAGGAACAACTGTGGTATCAATTGATGGTTTAGACAAACAAGAGGGTCGAATTGAGTATTTGAATAAATGAAAGCTTTCTTCATTAATTTGTTTTCTATAATATGGAAAGTTTTAAGAATAATAATATTTATTTTCTTTTAAAAAAGTAATAACATTCTCCAAATAAAATAGATATTCTTTCTTTTTCTTTTACAATACATAAAATAGTGTGATACATCAAATATTTTTCAATAGGAATCGCATAGAAATAATATATTTTATTTTATTCTCAATTTGTTCTTCTTGTGTTAATCATCGTATCAATCAAGATTTAATAATATAAATAAATAATACAATTAAGAAATTGAGGTTAGTAATTAACAAAGGAAGTAAAACTTGTTGTAAAGGGAGAAAAGGCAAAATGACAGTGATTTAGCCTCCTAGCTTGTCGGTATCCACTTCCTGAGTCCTTTTCGTGGGGTTTATTTTTACTATTATATCCTTGGTTAACTCAAGGCGGAGAAATATCTCCTTTCAGAGTAATGGAGAAACACACAACACTTAAAATTTGAAGCGAAAAGAATGCTATCACAACCCAACCAAATGATTAATTGCCATGCATTTCACGGCATAAAATTGACCAATCTTAGCATAACTTGCCAAGTAATCAACCTCTTTGCAAGGCAATGTTCTTAGATCTAAGATCCTTTTTTAAGCAAGAGCAAACAAAGCTCTTAAAAGCCAAATATTCAAGCTTGATGATGCAAGTTTTGTCGTAGAAAGATGATTTGGTGTATGAATTAATTTTCTCTCTCTAGAATTCTCTCTTTTTGGGTTTGTAAGTGTTGGAATAGTGCATAGATTGAAAAATATGTTCATAGCAATATATTAGAAATGAACATTAGCCTTCAAATCAATCAAATCATTAATTAATGTTTGTTCCAAATTAAAATTCAAGCCATTGGCTTATTGTATGTACACTAATGATTGTATACTGTTATCAATTCGGAATCTAACCATAAACATTAGTTGATTACTTGATTCCAAAACACGTGATTAATTAAATTAAATTAGTAAACTAACCTTCTGCTATTATGAATGTTACACAATGATACTATTTTAAGTTTCGAATAAATCAATTATTGCAAATTGAGTATGTTGATTAATTTTAATATATAGCATTTCATAATATATGATGATCCTAAGTTTAATTTTTATTAATTAAATAAAATTTAACTAATTAATTTAAGCCAAGATTGAAGCATGTGTAATTTAATGCTTGATTGGACAGTACAATTTGGTCTGAATTTTTTAGTTAAGCTTATATCTTTATTTAACTAATTTTTAATTCAAATTGTGTGTGTGCAAGCTATCTTACCATCCTAACATCTGGAACTATAATAGCTTATTACTACAAAAGTAAATAAATATTTTGCACTTGTAACTTGATTTTGTGGTGGTCGTTGGTTTAAATAGAGCTAATTGGGCCTCCGGTTTTACTCAAGTCCTTAATCCATTTCATTCCCTCAAATAAAAATGTTGACTCATATCAAATTATGTTTGTGATAATCAAAACCTTGATTATAAGCTTAAAGCTTATGGGATTAATATTCTGTGTGCATACACGGAGCTAGATGGATTATTTTCTTATGTTGGAAATTTTTCTTTAAGGAATTTTAAGCTTCATTGAGAATGTTCCCTAAACTTTTGAAAGTTTCTTGAAGGTTATAGGATTTGGATTATTCCTAGAAAATTTTAAACCCTCAGGCTTATATCTGATGGTGGAGATCCCCCCGGATCATTTGTTTTATATTTTAATGGTCTGGCAAGTTTTTCTTCATTCCTGTTGTTTTTTCTACAGTCTACTGTCTGGGGTCACTCAAGTCTTTGATACTTCGTTATGCTATTTTATGCATAACATTTCTCCAATAAGGCTTTATAATTAATTAGTTTGTAAGAGTGATCTGAATATCCAAAGTTTGAAAGGATTATGTGCAAGGAAACCATTTTTTCTTGTATAATGTTGACATTCTGCATTGTGGACTTACATTGCTCAACTCTATACGTGAAGTTCCTACTGAAGCCAGATTATGGATATTTAATATAGGTACGAAGGACCTTAATATTTGAGTCAGCTGAAGTAGTAGGCGATCTTGATTTTGAGAATCCATGCATTTTGAAGCATGCTTCTACTGCTTAATCTAGCAATTCATTTTAGAATTTGTACCTCAGTAGAAACTCGTGATCTAAAACTTGCAACTTGAACTTGTGGATGCTATTTTTCTCGAGTATGTGTTTATGCAGCTAAATGTTCGGCATGATTAGCACTAGAAGAGTTGAAATATTGCTAAGTATTATTTTTATTTAACTCTTTGGTAATTTGATTTTTAATTATTCTCTTCACTATTTTCTTAAGAGGATTTTGCTGGAGCGAAAAGGGTACAAATGAAAATGTTATGCAAGTGTCACAAAACAGCACAAAAAGTTCTGTGCATTTAGTTACTCCCATTTTCTCTGTCACATTGCTGTGTAAGTCAAATTGTTTTATATCATTTGGAGATTAAAAAAAACCATACAGGGATGGTTTCACAAAAAAGTTTTCACTATATCCACCATTCGAGCAGCGTCAATTTAAAATCCCATTACATTACAGCGTCTCCTCAAAATGTAGGAAATGTGATTAAATATACCAAAGAATTCTTTCTTACTGCTCTTGATTGCAGAAGTTCAAATTTAAACATTGTCCTATTTGGTTTTCTGACTTCTGGCACAACTAAAATCCCTTGTACAAGCATAATGTTCTGTACTTGTTTTGTTGTTCTCATCTTCTGCATTACATGGTGGAACTTGCCTTAACCTGGGCTTTTTGTGCTCTTGTTTTCCTCCCTTATTTATGTCTTCTAGATGTCGGTTGAACATTTTAATAATTGATTTGGAATTAATCTATTGCCTTTCAGCTGAAAGCTTTGAGGGAATCAAGAAAATATGCTGTTGCTGGGGCCCTTATTGGTGCGGTACATTTAGGCGGCATTTCCTTCAAATATTCTAAGAGTCCACATGGTATTAACCCTTCCATTTGCTCATGGATCATTTCTATGATGTTTTTTCTCCTCCATTTATAGATCATAAAAAGGGCTGGCTTTATGCATTTCAAAATAAAAAGAAGTGATGATGTCATAGTAAAACATTTGGCAATTTGCTTTTCTTAGTTCTTCTGATTAAGTTTTATGATATTGTTCTAATTCTTGTACTTCTAGATTATAGAAGGCTAAAACTCTTTCCTTTTCTGTATTGCTTACGGGCCTTTCAGTTTCTACAGATGGAGTATTTTTATTGTAAACTGACTAAAAAAAATTTCTGGAAATCCTAGAGTATTGATGATTTTTGCACCTTAACTAATTATTCCATGGTAAATTAAATCACTAATGTCCCATTCATACTATGAACATAGCTTTTCTAGGAATTGTACCTTTGGACAGCATGATTGAAGTTGGTCATGTGTGTGCATAAGGTATATTCAATCCGATCATCAGAACTTTTGTTCAACTATTGTCACTAAGAACCCTAGAGGCTTATTTTGATCCATACAACAGTTGACACCATAAAATGTTAAAATGTTTAATGAGATGTACATAATAAAATAAACCTCATGTTGATGCGATACAAACAGTTCTGTTTCTTTTGGCAGCCAGAAGCCCGCAGATCCTCATGAAACTTGACTCAATGAAGATTTTGGGGATTTTAACAATATAGACAGCTAGCTTTCATGTTGCATATGCATTGTTGAAACTATTTATTTAGGTTCATCTGGATACTGAAATCTTGCATTAGTTGATGTCCAGATAAAGCTGGGAACCAGTATTCCCATTCTATGATGAGCTACTTGAACAGTGAATTTCCCAGCTGTTTTACATTTAGCTTATTTCTCATAATAGATACCTGTTGCTTCACCTTAGAACCATGTCTGTGATGGTAATGTGAAATGATTAGTGTTGCTATATTGATAGAACATGAACGCTAAAGCTTTTCTTTTTTTTTTAATTTTATTTTATGTTAGTTTTTTTTTTTGCTTATGTTGTCTGACACATTTGAATTCAACCAGGAATTTTTTTCCCAGTTGTGCGTATATGCAAATTGAATCTTGATTGGCAATCTAGATCCGGCTCTGTGATATCGGAGTTAATCCAAATAACAAAAGAAATATTGCTGAATTCAAATAGAAAATTATACCCAACTCACATAAAACTGAAATTATAACAATTGACAACACAAACCTTAGCTAGGGCTAGATCCGAGGGTGGTGGTGGTGTTCGATGAATCTTTGGGTAGCGAAGGGTGCTTAGTGGTATAGTTGGGTGGTAGCAAAAGGGGAATCCGGTGGGCTGTGGCGGCGATGTAGGATAGCTGGACAATGGTGCAATGGAATAGCGAGGTTGTGTTAGCGAGGCAAAATGCTGAGAAGAGATTTAGGAGGGTGCTAAATTGGTTGGAACAGCGATGGCAGCACTAAGGAGGTCTACAATCGTAGTGTTGACAGAGAGGGAATGATGCCGATAGCGATGGGGGATGTGGGAGACTGCTGGACTAAAAGAGGATGACCGTTCGGGGCGGCAACAATGAGGACATGCTGTTGGAATTGGAAGACTGAAGTGAAAACAACAAATAGGCACTGCACAGTGGCGGCTGTTGAAATGGAGGGCGGCCAAGAGTGATGTGCAGTGGATTTGGAAGGGGATAGGAAAGATAATTACCACCTGAAGACCAAGGTACAATTGAAATACCACTTGGAATCCTAGGATACAACCCTTGAAGGGAAGAAGAGATGTCCACGACAATCCCGATACAAAACACGAAAAATTGAATTCCAAAACTATAATACAACCTATATACAGGTTCATTGAGAAAATAACTTAATAGGAAAATAGGAAAGAAAATAGAAAATGAATGAAAGAAAGAAAATTGAAAAGACATTAGCCTAGTTTCGGATCAGCCTTGTTGTGACCGCGAGCAGAATCGAGATCCACGGTTCTACAATTTTGTGGTTTTCTTGGTTCATGTAATCCTGAGGCTCCGCGTCAATCTCCCATGGTTGGAGAAACTTAGACCTCATCTGTTGAAGCTTCTGCCTTCTTGTGGTATGCCGTCAAGTCTGCTAAGTTGAAGGTGACAGAGAAGTTGTAATCCCCGGATAAATCAATCTTGTAGTCATTGTTATTCAAAAGCACATCCTGATAAAAAAAATATCCTTCATTTTTTGGCTTAACTTGAGATGGAATCTCATATAGGCATAAATTTTTATAATAAGTCTCAAGCCATTAAATTTGTAATTTGCCTCTTTAACTCGGCAAGGCGCATGCGGTAAACAAATTCATTAGGAGGAACTAACTTTAGACTAAAATTTGTTGTTCTTTCCCCCAAAGATCCTAAGGCGATTTCTAACGATGTTGTTCATCCATTCCGCTGATTAGCTGTTGATGGATACACTACTAAATTAAATTTAACACACAAATGACTCCATATGACCTTCCGAAAATAGCTCAAAACCTTCTCATCTTTGACATGTCGGGCCCACATCAATAGGCTCAGCTTAGGAGATAGGCTATATATCTAAAAAAAATGAATTTTTTTTATCATAGGTTGCCTTTTGTCTGGAGTTGGTTCCTCGAAGCAATGACTATCTTGGACATCTAATATCAATTCTATTAATGCCCCCTCTTAACGCATGCAAAAAGGTAATTCGTGGCATCACAATTTCATACTTTACATGAACGTCCATTATTTCAGACTCTCAATCTTTTAGAATAGCCTCAAGTAATTTAATTGAATTATGTCGTGGGCTCATCTTGAATCACCAGCGTCTCTTCCTTGCCGGCTTGAAGTTGGCACTCATCTCTGACCTCATCATTTTTTGTGTTACTATATAGTCATAAACTGCTCTTTGCTTATTAAAATAGAGCATTTCTCTAGTTGTACAATTTGATTCAATATGCCCAAATTAATTAAAATAGAACATTTATCTATAACTTTTTCTCCTCGCGGGAGCTTGAATGTTCCCTTTAGCGTACTTATGTTGCTCGATCTTGGGATTGAACTTTGTCTGTAAGATATGACAGTCATCCGACAATGTCACCTATCCATTTTTTAAGCTAGAGTCTGAACATCCTGTCAATAATGAATTGGTAGGTAATGACACTATTTCTTTTGTTTCATTTTGGACCAAGTAGTGATCTTGCATTTTTCCTCACGCCAGCACAAGTACTTCAAAATTTTCCACAAAAAAACACACTTTTCTTTAACTTGCTGGTGGCTAGTTTCTCTATTATGTCCCACAAGACTTTCTGGTACTCAAAGACATGTTCAACTGTCCAAAGCCACTCGAACTCGTTCAGATCTATATGGCCATTAAAATATAACAAATTCACTTTTACTTTAAAATTCTGGATTCTTTAGTATTTCATGCCAAGTCTTCATTGAAGTTGTTCTTCATCTCTAAAATCGACATGGTGGATGGGATTCACTGTATTCTTTCGATCTGACAAGTCTCTATTGTGGTTATGAGTGACCCTTTCGGATTGCCTCCTCTCGAAGGTGGTAAGTGATCCCGACTTTCTGTATATAGAGATGTAGAATGCGATGTATGCAATTATATTTATAATATTTCAATATGGGATACTACGCAAATATACGTATCGTTATCAAGTAATATAAAACTTTCTGATTAAATCCCGAATATCGAACCCACAGGAAAGATTAGTTTTAGATAACTAAATACTTAGCAATATATATTCTTACTCAAACTTAAGATGCTATAATAGGAATAAAAGTTCAATTTTTTTTGTAATTTTTTATAATTGAAAATAAAGTAAGCAACTGATTAACTTAACTAAAATACTTGCAAGATGAAGGCAATATAAGTAAAATATTTTTTCCTTATCATAAATCAGTGATAAACATAGAAATTTAGTTGTAGAAGTATGTTAAATGTGTTATGTCAAACAGAAACAATAATATTCTTTACTCTTACTAGAGATGCTATAAAGAACATTGGTTAATCTATAGTTTGAATAGTCTTGAAGACCGGCTAGGCAGGGAATATATTTAGCTCTCACTCTAGAGTTTTCTCTTCTCCCTCCATCTGGGGGCTAACATCTCGAATCAAAACCTAAAACTATAAATCAAATTGAGGGTTTTAGCCTGTCACTATAAAACCCTCTAATTCTACACCCTTGAAAATATATTTCTCTATTTATTTGCACCAACCCCATGAACTACATTTTCATTCATGAAATTAATATGTGATTCCAATCATTTGTTGACTGAAACAATATCATCTCAGATTTTACATGTTCTCACAACAGGTTTTAACATCTTAATTGGCCAAATTAAGAAGTAAATGAAGTGCAAGATCTTGAATCATCACAACTTATTCCAACATTGAAGTCTAATACCTCATACAACTTTCTTTAAATATTTAATCACTTATCATTTTAAGGAAAAAGATAAAAAAAATTACTCAGAATCCATGGAGAAAACACAACCACACATGAGTTTAAAAGTAGAAATCATGCGCACAAACAAGAAATCTAAATTAAAAATTAAGTGTAGTCACAAAGATAAACACTTATCTCAAATTCTCTCCATCAAATGTCTTGAAGTTC